CTCAGGAGCTGGAGTGTTCTACTACGTACAAAATAAAACCCCCGATTTCACATTCTAATCTCCAGCCACCCTCCATAGTGGGTGTGACACAACGGCATGCATTCGTCTCCAGTTCGCCTTACCTTCAGCATATCTTTGTATCTGCCCATCTCTGCATGAGCAGTGATGAGGCAACCCAAAACCCGAAACCTGCCAGCAGGATCCGCGGACTTCTCCAAAACCCTCATCCAGACTCGCAGGGCCTTTTCGGTCTGATTAGACTGGTAAAGATGGAGTCCTTTCTCTATCTGTTGCTTTGTCTGGTCCTGACCCATCTCCCATGCATTAAAAAGCCTCATACACTAACCTCTAAGGACGGCAAAAAGCAAGCGCACAGAAGAGAGCACAACACAAAGTGCCCTAACAGAGGAGGGCGGGTTGTGCGCTCAGGAGGCTTGGAGCCGTAAAAGCCCAGCCATGTCAGAGGGCTGGAGCTGTGGTAGGCAATGGCAAGAAGTGGCTGCTCAGCACTGAAGGTAGAATCCCAAATCCACTAGGCAAATGTCTTGCTCGCTAGGACTCCATCAAGTGCATTCGCCTGTCCAATCCCATAAACAAAGAGGAAAAGCACAACAGGGAGAGAAAGAGAAAAATCTCAGGCGACAGGAGTGAAACTCAATCTGAGCAGCCCGTGCTGGTCTCCTCCCCATTGGCTAAAGCTGCGCCTGCCAGTCCGGCTCACGTGGCTCCCAGGAATGCTAGCCAGGCTCCCCAGCTCCCAAGGTCACGGCGAGCCAACTGCCCACCCCTGCCCACCAGTATGCAGCTTATAAATACCCCAGGGAGAGACAATCAGCTGCGGTCACAGGGATGTCTCAGTTGCCCCTCTCCTCTCCCTTTGGCCACCCCCTTTTACAAGCACTGGTGGTGGTGGGCTAGCCTGGGAGGTAGCAGCCTCAGCTAGGACAGTAGCTTTAGGAACAACACATGCCTTAAAAATCAAGGCATGAGCTAGAAGGCTCCAGCACGTACACATGTGCAGTATTTTACTTGTAATGATGTGCCCGATACTTTGCCGGGCACAAAATTCAGCCTCCCTTTTGAGGACCTCAGCTGGCAATATGGACTGTTTCTGTGGAAAAAGGTCAGCTCTGTCGCAGATTTGCTGCAAACGTGGCACTGACTTCTTAATTTCAGGGGCAAGAAGATGCTAACCATCCTGAAAAGCTGTGTTTGTGACTGCTGCTCACTGCCATCGGACACCTGTAACAGTCCTCCAAGAGTTTTCAACAGAAGGTGTCAAAGGCACTGCTGAGGTTCTGCATCCAGAACTTGCTCACCTTGTATGACAAATGACAATGATGACCCAAAGCAAAGATTTCTGCACCTTCTGATTGCCTAAGAGGATTGTTAGCCCGATTAGAAGATAGCTTTCACTCTCCCACACACCTTTGAAAGAGCAGAAGTTAGACCGGTTCCTCTAGCAGTCAAGTTTCATACCCCCATTGATGTGCTGCATTTTTAACTGGCCCAGTCTTGGTTATCTATAGATTGCTCTGTCCTTTGTAAGAAGAGATACCAAACTTGGGGCGGAGGGAATGCCTCAGGGAAGTCTAATGTTTTTCAGATACAGAAGTCCCAGGCACCTGCTTTGGGATCCTTTTACAGGACAAAGAAATGGCAATTCAGAGTTTTAACAACAGACCCACATCCAGAAGCAGGCATCTCCAGCTGCCTCCCTGCTTCTCTGTGAATTTGGTGGCAGCTCTTCCCCAAGCAAAGGTAAATACCGACAGAATCATCTCACAGGCCACCAGGTGGACCATTCTGGCCTGTGTTATGGCTGCCTAAGGAAATACAAACACAAGGGAGCCTTCCTGAGGTAACAGCCCTAAGAAAAGCAGGACACAAAAGAGTAAGGAACCACAGCCTACCCAGAGGCTTTACATCATAGCAGTTGTAATCTTTAAGAGATTCCATCCATACCATTACCCAGAATTTCTTCAGAAAAGTATTTTAAAAAGAGAAGCATTTTAAATGGTAGAAAAGTCTTGCTACAATCAGACTGATTCTCTTTTGGGAGCTTATATACTCTGTGCTATTTGCATTATTTAATTTAGCACTGTTTTCAGAGCGGTAATGTGCTAGATGATGTTTCAGCATAGACTCTGTGTACTCTCAAACTTTAGGAGTAGAAACTGTGGAAAAAACTACAGAAGGCTGAAAAAAGTAATACTGAGGCACAGCTGGTTACCGTGCAAAAGTCATGTCAGCAGCACTGTTAAATTATGAGGTACTTTACAGATTTTAGGGCTTTCATAAAAGTCTGATTCAGAATTAAAAAAAAAAAAAGGTCTCTCCTCCCTGCAGTAATTCTTATATGTCTCTCTGGAGGTGGGTGGTGGGATGGACACATGATGCAGAAGACAGATCCCCATGGAAAGTGCTAGTAATGGTGAGGCCATCAGATATCTGGACTTGGAGAAGTTAAGAGGCCAGGGACAGCAGCCATTGGAGTCTGCTACATGAAAGAATCAACCCAGGGCTCAAGAAGGGGGAGAACAAAAATCTCATCGTTCTTTGCTGGAGCAGACTAGTTTGCAAAATTAACCTTTCACAAGTAACCTGCCTGTAACTCAGACTCCTCCTGATGCCTTTGGACCGCTTCACCAGAGCACTTCTCCTCTCAGTATTCACTCTCACATCCCACAGAGAATTGGCAAAGTGAGAAGAGGATGCCTTGCAGTCAGACAAAACCCATCTAACAGGAGGGAAATGATCAGTCCTGCGTTTTGTTGATCACACTACACTTCCTTGCTTTTGAGTTGTCCTATGAAAGAGTGCTTAGTCTCTTAAGAATCAACTCACAACTCACCTATCGGGATAAAAACTTACCCTAGTAAAGAAAGGGCTAGAACCATCAAGCTCAAACTGGTCATTTTCAAAAACCAGAAGCACGCTCTGATGTAGAACATACCACTTTGAGCCCAATGCAGCTGCCTAAATAAGGAGGGGTAAAGGGGCAGAATCACCCAGACACTGACCACCTGTGCTGCTTCGAGAAAGTAACAGCAGAGTAATGGCCATCAGTCTGTGGCTCAAGACAGCTCTAGTTCGTACAAGATTCAGCTATGGCTTTTACAGTAAATGCCCCACAGTTTCTTCTCAGGAACTGCAAATAAGTAAGCCTGCAAGGTGCATGGAAACACCAAATCAGGGAATCTCACCTGTCATGCAGTGGAGCTAAACACGCAGTGTAGCTAATCACGTAGTCACTTCTTCAGAGTGACCACACTCAGCTGCTTGTCCTCCTCCCCGCTGCTCTTCATAATGTACACCCGGTGACTCCTGGCCATACGAAGACAGCAGAACATGGCTGGTAAAGTCAGGAAGATTGGAGACCGGCATCAAAACAAGTAGTGAAAGGTGGAGGCGGATGTGAGAGGAAGAAAATTTCTCCTAAAACACTCAACATCAGGACTTAAATACAGAAACCTGTAGATTCCTATTGATGTTGATAAATATAACAACTTGTGAAATGCTGATTATTTTCAGATATTAATACACTGTCTCTTATTTGTAGTTTAATCGTCTACTGATTGATGGTGGCCTTTTAATTTAAAAGAAAAAAACCCTTCAAAAAATAAAAAGCCACCTACCCAGAGGGATCTAGTATCAGTTCTGTGAGATGCAATGGACAGAGCTTTGCTTGCCTAAGGTGAGGCTAGCCAACTTTTTGCACATGCAGGAATCTTCCATCCCGCCAAACAGACCCTTTTTCCGATGCAATTTTTTCTCTCCATCCTTCACCTCAGGCCTATCTGAAGTGAAATCTCTCCAGCCTCCCTTCTCAACAGCTGCAAATTAACTGCAGGGATCCCAGCACACTCTGCAACAGGCGGCTCAGCGCCTCACTTCGCAATTGGTGCGCTGCAGGGAAAGGAATGCTGCACTGAATCCTGATGCTTGCAAGTGCTCTCGGATTTACAGTCATGTAGGAAGTAATGGGGTGAAACGGAGTATGCCAAATAACAGAGGAAAAGGACACGGAGGAGGAACATAGCTGCCCTAAAAATGCTTGCAGTCTCCAAGATGCAAGACAGCAGAAGTAAGGATTAACATTACTGAATTTTAGGAGCTTTCAGAAACATGGCAAAGCCACGGCCATTGTGGTACTTTCCTTCTGAGAGAGATAATATTAATGTCAAACTCATGGCAAGTTTCTAAATTAATTACGCTTTGGCTACACAATTTTTTTCCCAATTAATTTTATTTTGAATGATTAATGTATCTTAGTTCTAAAAGCAGAGCAGGTAACTATTGCTTACCACAAAACCTGAGCTAGTAAGTAATCCCAACCTGTTTGGGGTTTCCCCGTGTAGTATTTCCAGGACCAGGAGCACTGGGGACTGCAGATACCTTCATGCTGCAGAACCAGGACAGGTTCAGCAAGCTTGGCCGTGTTCCTGGAAGGGGTAAGGAGGCAGTGGTGGGTATGGGGCTCGTAGGAGAAGCATGAGCTGGTGTCTATCTAATCCCACCCACCACCACGCACATGTGCTGTTCCTGTACAGCTGAAGTCTGGCGTTAATGCTGAAGTTATTTAGCCCTTGAAACACTATGAAGCACAGTGCACAGACAAGCAAGTGGCTGCACAGCACCAGTTCTGTGAGGCTGGACATGCCTATACCTCACTCCCCAGCATATCACATATTTGCATTATCCAAGATTCTCAGCTTTTCTGTATCTAATGTCTAAAGGGGACTTGACTGCCACAAGATATGAAAATGTAGGCTAAACAACCAAAACCCCTTTTCCATTTCTACTCAAAGTAGCTCATCTATGTAGAGGTAAAAATCCAGGGCTATGTTGTATATCCAGAACACGTGGTATTGGGCCATGAAAATTTTTGTGGCTCACAGCTAAGAAACTGGAAGCTAGTTCTCTCATCTCTCTCCTCATCTTCCCACACTTGGACCCAAAAAGAACCTCAAGTTTAAGACACAAATACAACACACAAGGACTCTTCTCAAACAGTTTAATAGCAAATAAACAAAGGAAGGTACCACACTTGGCATATACAAAATGACTTGTTGTCGGTGTGTCTGTGCAATTAAAACAGCTTAAAGTTGCCCTTTGGGACAAAAAGAAAAAAAAAACCCCACACACACAAAAGGAAGAAAATTCCTTTAACACATACTCGCTCGTCCCAAACTTGTAACAAATCTTTTCATTTTTAAATCCACTACACAAACTCTGCGATCAGATAAGCAACACGTGCTCCTCTGCTTTTTAAACCATTAAAGTAAAATCCGTTATTCTCTACAGAGTACAACACAATTTCACACAAAAAGACATTTTGTTTTGCAAATCAAAACAAGAAAAAAAAAAAAAAGGAACAGCTCAAACAAGGTAAAGAAAAGCATTTCTACGACTGAACCACGACTTCGAGTTGATTAAATCCCGTTACTGCAGAACAGACTCTACATTTGGTCATAGTGGCAATTTGTTTTCTCGTCACATTGTGAATCACTTTACATTGTTTTCTAGTAGAAAAGGCAAAAAACTGTACAAAACCCCTAGTGTTAAATACAATGTTTGTACCAATAAAAAAGCCCACAGGTTTGTCTCCAAAATGTAAATTTTCTTTTTAAATTATTCACAAAAAGCAGCCAAAAATCAGAAAGGCAGCTGCTGCTCCACTGTCTCAAATCCATTAAAACCACCACAGAACAATTAAAACAACCAAAGGAAGAAAAGGAAAGAACAAAGGAAAGAAACATCCAATGTTTGGCATTTTGGTTTTCTTCAGAGATTTTTCCACAGGTTTCCCCAGAGTTCCTTATGGAACCAAATGCGCATGTACAGAACGTATTGGCAGTTACTCAATACACTGCAGGGTATCAGTGCCCCCCACGGACACACAGCCCTGTGCATTCAGACTGTGGGACTAACAGCAGCCAGCCCACAACCCTACCTCTCAAATAAACAAGTCTCTATCCTTTTATTCGTCCAGCCTCACGCTTCACTCCCAGGTATGTGTACCATATCCAAACATGTTCTCTCTTACAAGCAGATTAAGGGCTGTCTACACAGGTCTAGCCAACATCTATTGAGAGTACAGTATCCTCAGGCAACTCAGGAGTAGGATAGGAAAAAAATCCTTTCGCATCTTTGCATTATCCCAATCAAACACGATTTGTTTTCTCAGCAAAACCACTTCTCCTGGGATTTCATTTAACATTATTTTCTACTGTTAAGATACCTACACTAGCTTGCCACTTCGGACTGAAACTTCATAGCATGCACTCTTCAGGTGCCTTCATCTAGAAGCTACATCCCAGTTTCTACCTGTGCAGATGGTATGTAGGGTAGGGGGAAGCCTGTTAGCCAGAAAGCAGTAACCTGTTTTAGTTCACCCTGCAAGCCAGAAAAACTGCTTAGCTCATTACCCAATTAAAAACTAAACAAAAACTAAAAAATCTCCGTAGAGATTCCCCAGCTAAGGCCCTTGAGAAGAGAGCTGGGGATGGTACCCTGTTCAGGTAACAGCTTCAGAGGCTGTTGTATTGTGCTTGTCGCTTGGGAAAAGAGCCAGCAGTTGTAGGACCAGGTTTACAAATGCTTTCTCTGGGATATTTCAAACACTTTATTTCAAGAGCTAACCTAGATCCTTCCAGGATCCTGCCCACCAAGGTCTGACTGATGGTATTAAACTGGGGCTGGACTTCACAAAAACGTGCCCTGAATTATACAGAAGGCTCATAAGGAGTGTTTCAAAGGAGCCCTGGCTTCAGATAACTTTGGAAACAGAAATAGTGTGAAGTTCCCCCACCTTCCTGCTCCCCAGCTATCCCCTTCCACCAAAACTTCCACCACAGGAGCAGTGCAGCCAAGCCCCCTGGGAGCCTCAGACAGCACTGGAGATGGAACAAGGTCCAGATGCTCTGTCAGGCAGACAGTCTAAGTGCACAGGTGGATGCCCTCAGGTGGCTTCTGATCAGATATTTGTCATACCAAGACCACCAATTTGAAGGATACCTTTGAAACCCATTAAATTGCTCAGTTTTTGCACAAACTATAGAAAACAGAGAGGTGAAGGTGATATATACGAGGGTGTGAAGATAACAGCAGGGAACATGCAAAACATTTCTGGGCACTATCTTAGTTTGAAAGATTAAAACAAAACCATCACATTTTGCTGAGGAGATTGTAGTTACAAAAAAACCAAGCATGCTGGGGCTTAACAAAATACAACATCAACTTTGATCAAATTTTCACTGCAGACTGATAATCACACAGGGAAGCAGGGTAAAAAATAATAATAATAATAATAATAATAATAATAATAAAAAAAAATCAATAAATGCCAGGGCAAAAATGTAGCTACAATCAGAAGAAAATGTAGTTCAAGTGTTTTCTGCTGATGCCACTCAAGTCACAAGTTTGAACTCATAAAAACACATGCTGTCTCCTCAAGCACAGAAACCAGATCAGCAAAATGTGACTAGGAAGTCTCCTGAAAGATTGAGTCACACCATATAATTGACTTTTCTTCGAAACTGTGTTTTTAAAACTAAGCACACAGAAAAAACTAAGCCTAGAAAGTGATTGGCTGTATGTTCACAGAAATACAAATACTCCACAAGGTATGCTAGCAAGGCTGCTCTGAAGACAATTACAAAGAATCAGATTCACAAAATCAAGTGGTTATCTTACGAAGGTCTAGAAAAATAGAAATTCTTTTATATTCAAATGCAAGTTTAAATATTCCCCTTCAGCAGTCTTTCTAGCAAAACCAATTTGGCAGCACAAAAAAAAAAAGAAAGAAACAAACGTAATAAAAATACACATCAGCATCAAAGGTCAACACAAGGTCAAAGGTGAGAGTTCAAGCATCAGAGAAGCTGAAGAGACAAGGATTTGGACGATGTACTTGAACGCCACATCGACATGCTTTAGGCACAACGATGAACAAACGGCAGGAATCTAGAAAAAAAACAAACCAGAAAGAGGGAGACCCACTGAGTTACACAGAGCAGTACATCCAAACACGGAGAGAGAGAACAAGAATGGGCACTGTACAATGAGATCTCCTGGGGAAGGGAGTTGACAGGGAAGGGCAGCACATGCCAACGATGGACAAGTAAAAGTCAAAGTACATGAAGGACACCAAGTAAACATCAAACTGCCAGAAACCAAATGGAAGCAGAGGCCTGGATTTCCCTCTCAACACTCGGTCTGTGGAGCACTCTGCAGCCTCGTGACACATCAATTAGCATGCATTCACCTTGCCCTGTGCCCAGTGTCTCCACTAGCTCTGTGCAGGAGAAGAACAGAGCAAGCTCCCTCCCCAGGAGACCGACTCCAAAAAATATGGCTCCAGGGCTAACATTTGCCCACAGAGACTGAGACCATGAGAGACAAGACAGAGGACACAAGGGATTCACAGGTGGTTTGACGGCTGAGACTTTTCTTGCATCCTAACATGGGAAGTTCTTAGGCAGTGGTAGCCCAGGAAATCCATGTTCTTTCCTTCAGCTACAGTCCCTTCTCATTCCCTAGGAGCCCATGAAACTGGGGGTGATTGATTTGGAACGGGGGGTGAGGGGGATATTATACAAGACAAGTAAGTGGAACCAAAACCTCCACACATTAGAGAAGAATTGCTTAAGACTTGACTGCAAGTTAAGACTTGTCCTAGCTGAGCACTTTTCAGACCATTAGACCTGCACAGGGATTTTCCTTTCCCAACCTTTTATATAAACAGCCCCCAGCTCCCTGACTTCCTGAGGAGGGGATTCTGGGCTCTGAGAAGCTCTACAGTCACTGTTGCCAGTTTGATGAGTAGAAAAAAAAAAATATATTTCCTGAAGCTTTCTTGAAGAGTATATAAATAAAATCATTCTTATATTAAGTAATATAAATACCTTTGGTTCCTCCCCTCAGCTTGTGAACTGCAAGAGACAAGGAACATTTGGGGAAGACTGTGGGAGGTAGGTGAGAGAGGAAGCAAATTTTTTTTCTTTTTTCTTCCTCCTCCCCACCCCCCAACTCCCCTTTCCCTCCTGTTTGTGGCCTTATACTTCAGCACATCTCCAAGCTGCTGGTTAGAGACTAGAACAAGGTGGGACTTGCATATTACCTTACAGCATTTATAGCATGTTTGAGAATAGCAAGTGTTGCATTCTAATTCCAAAGCAACAACCAGCATGTTGTCCACTAAACCTGCAACACTCCACTTACTAGAACTGCTGAGATTAATTTGCTTTTCATGCTTTCCATCCAATTCAGGAAAAGGACTTAGTACGGAGTTTAAACCCACTCCAGCAAACAGAGTACAATGCAATTCATGCATCTATTTCTATAATTCTAGAAGTACTCTAGTTTGCAGATAGCTGTAAGGCTTCAGTCCTAAACCAGAAAGGCAAATTCATCATGAACTGAGGCATGAGAAACAAGAGGCACGAAATCAAGTGACATCTAAGCATGCACCATAGAAATTCTGTGTGTGATTTGTTTGGGATTTTTTTTGATATAGATTTTTCAAGTAATTCACTCAGCTATTTTGAGTGGAAAGACTATGTTTCATTAAAGTCCTGAGGAAGGACTGGCCTACAAGAGCAGAGCCATGAGATGCTGGATAAGATCTTAATGACTTCGGGAAAGTTATTCCAGTTTACCACGTTTTAATCTCACAGCTGTGATAATTTTGCCTTCTGTGTCTTATATTTTGTAGCAGGTATGCTCAGGGATGTATAACATCATTATATTTAAATATTTGCGTCAAGAAGCTCTTAAAGCATTTTATGGGTTCATATTGCACCATTCATTTGCAATTTGCTTTACGCAAGTTGCTTTTTGATATTTCTAAATGAAATAGGAATATCATCATTCTGCATGGCTGTTCTTCCCTAACTCACAAACATTAACAAGAAGAAACACTTCAGTTAATTCTGTCATGCAAGCAGAATCTATCACACTATGGGACCCTTCAGTATTCAGATGAAAAGCTTTTTTCTTATGGATTTATTTGCCAGTGAGAAATTTTCTGAGGCGCTTATTTTCCAGATAGTAGTGCCCAGAGCTAGTAAACTGCCTCACCATTAAAATATAAAGAGATATTCACCATCATTGTCTCAGATACTTCTGAAAATTTGTCTCGGATACTTTCAAAAAATCCTAGTCCTCATTCTTCTTAGGATTAAAATTTAATCACCATGTATCAAAGGCATTTTCTAATAATGCAAGCTTTGTATTATGGGAAGAAAAAACTAAACTACAAAGAGATATCTTATTTTGGACTGTTGATTATCAAGGGAACTGAAAAATCTATGATTTCATTTACTGTACTACTTGATACTAAGTAGCATCAGACTAAGACTTCAATTGTTCATAATACTTTCATCTTATGACAGCATATTTAGTAAAATCAAATGACTTCTGAGAAAGAAATAAATATATGATGTAGACCATTTCCGTCTTGTTTCTAAAAATATGTAAGTCCTTCCTGGTGGTGCATGGAATATGGAATTCCATTTCATCAGAAGTCCTACTAGCTTTTGTTGTAGAAAATTCAGATTCTTTGGTTTATGAGCATACGGAATACTTTGTCCATGTGGCTACTTAAGCCAATCCTTCTGCAGTTTATTGAAACTCACCCAGCTCTTATCCTCCTATCCAGGAAATAAAACATTTGACATTGATTTGATTTGCATTAGAATGAGAGCATGATAGGAATTAAAAATAAAATAAAATTTAAAAGCCCCAAGTCCCCAAAATCCCAGACTTCCCTGCCAATGAGCAAGGAAGGTAACTGGCTTAAGACTGAAAGGCAAGAGGAACCTAAATCTCCAGAGTCAGCGGCAGCCACCAAACAGTTCTGCTATCAGAAAAAAATCTGCCCAAGTCACAAACTTGATACATTTATTAACTTTGGCAACATATACATTGATACACCAAGAAAGGGAAATCTGAAACAAATACACAAAAAGGGCAACATCTTCAGCTGGTGAAAACTGATGCAGCTCTACTGAAGAGAGCAGAACTACATTGATTCAAACCATCTGAGGATCACATATTTTAAAATTTAACCTGCATAGATTTTTTTTCTTTTTCTTTTTGGCAATACTTACAGTTATGCCAGTAAGGCACAAGAGCTAGCCCAAGTTAGGTGTCTTAAGGTGATTGTGTCTGGGATCTGATCAAACCAAGCCACAGTGTAAACTGGTGAATCTCCTAAAGTCAATAGGAGTTGCACCTATTTGCAACAATGCCAAGCTTGATCCGTAAGTTACAGTATTAAGGACACACTGTAGGATGCTGAAGCTAAAATATCTAATTTGGGGCAACTGCAATGACTAGTAAAGAGGCCAGAGTATCAGGTTAAAAGGAAAACAGGACAAAGGTCTCAGATAGTATAGTGGGGCAGGGTGCAAAGAAGGTAAGAGTGACTGTAGAGACCCCAGAGCACAGTGCTCTCCTCCACTGGTTCACAGCGTTGTCTTCCCCATTTAGCAGTTGTTGGGCTGCAAACAGGCCACTGAAAATCAGTAGTTTCAATCATGCACATCATTATGTGTGTAAAACAATCACATTCAGGATTCTACAAAACCCTGGCCTTTTTTTTTTCCAGTGAAATAATTTAGGTAATAAATATTCTCCACCCTGGAGCGGTATAAAACTTCTATAAAAATAGAAACAACGTTCTTGGTTACAGCAGGTTGCACTTGGAGCAGTTGCTCCCATCTATGTGTTTTTTTTCTTTTTTTTTTTTTTTTTCTTTTCTTGAAAAGTATATTATTTATAAAAAAAAAATCCCATTATCACCCTGGAGGCCTTCACACTCCAACACTCTTTTCTCAGAAAACCAGGACACATCTTTCCCATCGTGCAGAATTCAGGTGTACATGGTTTGCTTAAGTGTATGTTTACTTTTCTAGAGAGATTCAAATAATTAACATAAAAGGGTACCACATGCCAGCATAACTGGGAAATTTGGCAATCTGGCCTTTGAACCTTTGCCACCACAAAAGGATTTGAGTAATACTGACAGATTTACCTGTCTGCCATCAATATAGACAGACCGGCATCAGCTAACTGATTTTCAATTTAAGAATGGAAAGGGCTCTTGTAGGATGCTACAGGTCAGGCCTTGTACTTCTGAGGTTTGAGATCCCAGGGGACCCAGTCCCTGGGAACGCCCAACATTCCCAACAGACCACGGCGCATGGATTCTGAACGTGATCTCAGGTTTGATGGGTTTAGTGCTCCTCCTGCTGGAGCAGAACAGAAAGTCCCAACCCTATGTCTGACCCACACATTATTTACCAGCTGGCTCCCAGATTACAGTGTTGGCTGGTACCCTAGGAAACAGCATCACAGACCAGGAATACAAAGAAAACAAGGAAAAGGAGAAAATATGAGGTAAATGGAACTTCTGTTAAAGACGCACAGAAATTGTAAACTTCCTCTTGTGACAGAGGTGGATTTTGGTGGTTATAAAATGGGGCTCTGATTTCTTAAAACAACTCAGGCCAGAGTGCCAAAACTCCTTTGAGCTCCCTAAAACCAGTGTATAACAAAGGCCCTTAGCAACACATCAGCAATTTCACAAGTGTGCAGAAGTGTGTGTTCATTGAAAGGGTGTGTTCAATTTTCCTTCAATATCGAAGATAACAGCTAGTACCAAAAGGCAGAATAAGACTGAATGGCTCAATGCTCTGCTCTGGTTTCACAGCTCCTGTGTTAGCCTGTTTTGCACTGGTACACACCACCTTAAAGGAAAACTGCAGTATAAAGAAATACCTAATTACTAGACCAAATCACTGTCCAAATTGTTTTGGTGTTGTTTTGGGGTTTTTGTTTTTTTTTTTTTTTTTTTTTTTAAACCAGGAAGTCATCTTTGCAACAGAGTTAAGACTGAGAAATCAAATCCTATGAGAACATGTATGAAACAGGAGCCTCAAGAGCTGGGTTAGGGTAACTCTGGGCTTTGTATCTCAATTTAACAGTAATTTTAATAGAGAACCAAACAGCACTTACATTATGCTTATCAGAATGAATTCAACATAATACTCTGCAAAAAGGATATTATTTCACAGAAATGGGGAATGTGCTGAACTGTTGAGAAGAAAAATTGTCAAAAAAATTCTGCAGGTTACCAGGGATCGAAAGTTTCTTGTTTCCAGCCCCAGATGTGCTCATCCAGACTAAGCTGTGTGTCTTTCTCTCTCTACCTTTCCACTAAACCTAGATAAAGTACATAGGATAAGTTTTCTTAAATATGGGGAAATCCACTGCATCTCATTAATACTCAACTGTAAATGGACAGTGACACTTTCTGGGCAGGGGCTTTATCTAATAATTTTATAAAGTGCTGTGTACATTCACAGTGCTATATAAACACTACTTTATATACAGCAAAAGAAAAGAAGTCACTGCAGTTTTCCTTTGGCTTGTTAATGTGTTCACCCTTCTTGCCTGTCTCCTGCTTTAGAGATGATTTAATAAATCCCCACCATGGCATACAGTTAAGGAAATTTCAAAGAATGGATGGGGCATGACAAAGGCTACATGGAGTCAGTTCTTTGCTCACGCAAGCTTGGATGGACTCAGTTCTCCTTCCCCATCTTTGTTTTCATCAGCTGTTCTGTGTTATTTCTGCTTTCCCTTCTCCTCTCCCCCATGGTGGCGTGGTGTCAGTTCTGCTTCCCCTTCTCCCCTCTTATCCCAAGGCAGTGTGGTGTCAGTTTCTGCTGCTCCCTTTAACCTTCCCTCCCCACCCCCAAGGAGCTGGCATTGGTCCTTCTCAACACACACTGGTTACAAACACAGCAAACTTCAAATAAGGGAGGAAGAAAAAAAAAAACCCAACAAAAAACCTCAGCGATATGGCACCTAAACTCCAAAGTAAAACACTGGAAACAAAAGCACAAACTTGTCCTCCATCCGAAGCTGGATTCTCAGCAGAGGCTGCAGCCGAATCTTCAGGGGAAGATGTGCCAGACAGAAGGCATGGATCAGCTTCCAGGACTGTAAAAACACAGCCTTAGGGCTTCGAATCACTAAGTGCGCTCCTCTCCAACTTACCAGAAGATCCTTCTCACTCCAGTCGCGGAGGGGAGGCGCGCTCAATATGGCTTGCTGTCATTCTTAGAGCGCTTGAGCTGTACTTTCAGACGCTTCATGCCAATCTGAAAGCCGTTCATTGACTGAATGGCAGCCTGTGCAGAGACAGGATTGTCGTAACTTACAAAACCTGAAGAAAGGAAAATACATAATTACACCATGCTAAAGCTGTCCAGAACAGTTACTCACAATTGGAAATGCAGGTACTCACAAGGTAAGAGAGGCTTGCATGAAATGCCATTTTCAGAAGCTCACAACTGTTTTAAACTCTTCATAAAAAACTTCTTACTAAGGGCTCTCAGACAAAGCATTGCTTTCTGATGTATGGAACTTTGGCCAAAAGATATACAAAGCTCAGGAAATTAGAATAACATTTTCGAAGCCTTCCAACAAAAATGAGTACTGCTGTTTGTTTTATAAGAACTCATACCCGTTTGTTTTATAAGAACTCATACCCGTTTGTTTTATAAGAACTCATACCTGGAAGAAAACCAAACCTGGAAAATGTTAATCTATATATGAAAGCTCATTAAAAATATAAAACTGAAATCACCCTCTTGGCATTATGGGAGTGGATTTGTTTGGAGTGAAGTAGCTGTCAACGCAGTGTGGCACTTTTACCACTGTTACAATTAGGTCTCTCTTGGATGAAAAGTTGTGTATCATTCCA